TGGGGAATTCTGGGAGTTGAAGTCCATAGCTAGTAGATGGGGAATTCTGGGAGTTGAAGTCCATAGCTGCTGGCTAGGGAACTCTGGGAGGTGGAAATCTATAACATCTTAAAGTTGACATAATTGAAAAACACTCTACTAGATGCTTTTAGTCCACTACCTTGGGATCTCCTGGTGATCTCTCTTCCAAGCCCAAAAGTCCGCCTGATGCTACCAACCCCAGCCAATAATCATAGCTGCTCGTTTTTATTTAGCACAAAAATCTGCAGGTTGCCCTGAGTTTTTCGATGCCTTGTGTTCAAAATGGCTGACTAAAAATACTGGCGACAGGATAGAAATTACTCCATTTTTAAACTGTAGCCAAACATAATTCATAGCAAGACCCACCTGAAAGTAATTAAAATCTTTGAAATAAGGCTGTAAAGATTTTTAAAAAGGCATATAGAGGATGAACATAACAACCTGTGCCCAGAAATCAATCTTGACCAGAGGGACTCTTGGGGGGGTCTCTCTTCAGAATCAGGATGAGACACCACCAGGTGATCCCACGGTTGTGGCGCTGATTGGGAATTTAAAAAAAAAAGTATTAAAAAGCAACAATAAATTTTCTGGTTGCTGAATTCATGAAATGGATGTGGTCTCACAAAGTCCGCAAGAGCAGTCTTTGTTTGAAAGAGTTTTATCTGTTTTGTGTTACTTGGGATTAACTTGGGTGCTTCTGTGTATATATTGGCTATCAGCTGATTATTAGGAGGGGTCCCTGGTGGCCTTGGGGGGGGAGGTCTCTGAACTGTGTGAAACACCTTCGGGGCATGATAGTGACTCACTTGCCTAAATCAGTAAAGTTCCGCTTTGTCTGGGCTAAAATTCAACCCAGCCTCAAGGTTTGTATGCAGGATCGCATTTATATCTAATATATACCCGTGCTTCGCTATGAAACTATGTGGTTGGGCTTAGTTTTGGGGGAGGAAAATAAGGGGGGAAAAGTTCTGTCTCTGCCTACCAGCATCCATCGGTATTCATTTGGCTAGCGTCCTGATACTATGTGAGAGAGTTGAGGGCTGTTTGGAAACTGAAAGGGTATTTCCTGTGTGAGCAAGGAGACAGCAAGGAGCCTGGATGTGGCTTAGCTCAACTGTTCTGTACTAAAACTTCTTGGTGCTTTGAAACTGAAACTCCTCTGCTTGTGTTTTGCATTTGGAAGAGGTTTCTTTTCAGGTGGGGAGGGGGAGTAGAACTCCTTAGCATCAGAGCGTGTTAATAATAAATATGAAATATTAATACTCTGATGGCCATTTGGAAAAATCCTTTCTTAGTGAGCACCTAGAAGCCAAGAGGCTCATACAGGCCAAATTTCAAGTTTGTAGGCTTTACGGTTCTGGAGTTTGTGTGATGATGCGTGAGGGGTATATTGCTTTTATATATATATATATAAATACAAGCACTGAAAAAAGTGACTTATAACAGTTTTTCATACTTATTACCACTGCAGCGTGCCCATGTTCCCATGATTAAAATTCAGGTGCTTGGCCACTGACTCCCATTTGTGATGGATGCAGTGTCCTTGGAGTCACTTTTCCGGCCTTCTGGCAAGCAGAGTCCATGGGGAAGCCAGATTCACTTAACAACCTTGTTACTACCGTAACAACTGCAGGGATTCACTTAACAAAACTGGCAAGGCAGTTCGGAAAATGGAGCAAAACTCAACGTAAAAAAATTCTCGCTTAGCAACAAAAACGTTGGGCTCCCTTGTGGTCGTAGGTTGAGGACTAATATACAGGTAGTCCTCAATTGAACAACCATTCAATTTAGTGACCGAAGTTACAACGGCACTGGAAAAAGTGACAATTTTTCAACCTTGTGAATATTTCAACATCCCTATGGTCACGTGATGGAAATTTGGACATTTGGCAACTGGTATGTACTTATGATAGTTGCAGTGTCCTGGGGTCACATGATCCACTTTTACGATCTTCCATGGATTCACTTAACAACGGTGTCACTAACTTAACCGCTGCCAGGATTCACTTAACAATGGTGGCAAGAAAAATCATAAATGGGGCCAAGCAAATGTCTCACTTAATAACAGAAATTTGGAGCTCAGTTGTGCTCATAAATCAAGGATTACCTGTATTTAATCTAATTTTTACAGCTAATATTATTTTCCCAACACACACAAACATTTACTATTAGATATACAATATAGAGAAAGTCTGTTGAACTCAGATGGGCTCATTTCTGAGTAAGAGTGAACAGAATTTCTCTTATTAAGCAATAGACAGTATTTTATTATGAATACTAGTTGATTGTTCTTTTAATTCTGCCCAATAGCTTGTTGGAAGAATCATCCTTCTGGGTTCAGTTCCAAGTGGGGGAAAAAGATGCTGGAAACATGGAGGCTGTTAGGAAAGATGGTTTAATGGTGGACAGGACTCCAAAGAAGGAAGGGACGATCACACGCTTCAAGGTGAAAGGAGAATGGAGGACCAAGATGCTGAGAGACCTTTATATAGCCTTTGTTGGGATCCACCTGTGCAAGAAATGTATCCCATTGGCTGTCAGACTCCCAGGGGCAGGGGTCTTAACTATGTAGGCTTTTTTTCTGAACCACATGGCTTCACTTGAGTGCTGGCTGATGCAATCTTCCCAGGCCAGGTGGTGAGATGGACCTTTGTTATGTAGAATGCTCTGGCCTCGGCCTTAATGGCCCATTAGCAAAGAGGGTGGGGGTGCTGAGTTTCTGCCTTCTCAGGTGAGTTTCTGCTTCTGAGTTTCTACTTTTTTTAGGGGAAATATTCCCCCTTTTTAATATTTTCCAGGATATTTCATTTTTCTAGAAGCGGGCTGGGTGTTAACTTCCTGCAAGCTGATATGCAACTCCTGCACACAATTAATCAGGGATATTTCCTTCCTGGACACCTTATCAATGTAATTAATATTTTTTTAAAAAATCAAATTTTTCTTCCCCATTACAGTAATTAAATCCAGTAGTTTTTATATAGTAATTAGATCCGCTAAGTTCAGGAGGAGCAGATGAAATGGCACGTGATAAAACAGAGGCAAGATTTGTAGAAATATTTATCAATTTTATATAACATTAACAGCAAAAAGTGATACTAGCATTTTAAAAATGCTCGATAGAATTAATACTTTAATTCAGCACTT